TGCAAGTATAATTAATGCTCCACCCTAGGTGTGATCCCAATACCCTTCATCATCTGATTTAAATAGTAGAACCCCTTGTCAACACAAGCAGATAGAACTCCAACAAAAGTTACATAGCTAGGTGCTTCTTCAGCTAACAGCATATTTTGGAACACTTGTCTACCAAATCCATAATGGGAGTAGCCACATATCATTGATTTCCATGTAATGATGTCACGGTAAGACATATCTGAAAGTACTTGATGCCCAAATTCAACATCACCCACTCTTGAAATACATGCATGTTGATCAGGGCATTCCCAACAATAAGATAGCCACTAAATCTGGTTTTTCTTTATACACACATTTAATACATCTCCATGATAATAGCTGTCCATGAGACCATGGTTGCATAGCCCATCAAAAACATTTCTTGCACACTGAATATCTTACCACATTTCCCGTACATGTCTATAATTGCTCTGCCAATGCAGCCTACGGATTTATCTTGAACCGAGATTTACACTCTATTTGCATTGTTTGTAAATGCAGCATGTGGATTTATCCTGAATCGAGATTTATACTCCATTTGTATTGTTTACAAATGCAGCCTACGGATGATCATGGGCCGAATGAGAAGAGGCCTAGCAAATGTGCAAGAGCCTTTTCTTAAGCTCAGTTTTGGAAAGAGTACAAATACAAATATGTACACTACAAATACATAAAAAATAATATAAAATACAAGGATTTGCACTCTACATATAAATACTTGGGAGACATTCTAGTGTTTGACTCTTTGCAGGATGGATGGTCAGGCCTTCCAAACCAGGATATACACCACTACATTAATATATATATATATATATATTTGATGATCTTATGTATGAATCAAGATTTACATAAAGAGTTTGGTAGAGTTAGGGGTGTAAATGGATCGAATTCGAATCGGATAAGGTAATATCCGAATTCGAATCCAATTAATTAATTATTTTAGATAATTAATAAATATTCTATTGATATAAAATATATAAATATATAAATTATTTATATAACTTAATTATTATATATAAATTATATAAAATATTATATATATTATATAAGAATTAAATAATCAATCGAATTCGAATATTTATCGAATCGAATCAGGTCATATCCAAATTCGAATCCGATTAACTATTCGGTAAGAATAGGATATCTAAATTCGACCGATTAAATATTTGAATTATCCGAATTTGATTCGATTATGCCGAATATCGAATTCAAAATTGGATTTTCGAATACTATTATCACGCCTAGGTAGAATCCTGATTTTAAAGAATGAGCATGGGTGGGGGGGTGATTCATTGCAATGGGAAAACCTAAACATGAGAAAAGAAAATGGAAAATCTAAATCTTGGCTTCCCTTTTATAAAGAGTTTGTCTCTCCGATTAATTTGACTTAATTACAAAAGTAGTTAAAAATTTTTCAAGAGATAAATTTCAACTCATATCTATTCGGCACTTTGCCAGAAGAAGCATTTGCTTTCAACCTAAACATGCCCTTTTTACTTAAAATTAAGTCGTGATTTGTGAACTAAAATTCATGGCTTAAATGCACACCTAGCCTAGATGATGATGAGTTGGCTAATCTCTACTGACACAAATCCCTTCTCTAAATGACTACTGGAGTCAACAAAACAGCACCATCATATCTATTACCCTCTTCACCCTCTAATGGGATACCTTGTGGACGGGGGACCCTGTTTATTGGTTTGGCATTATTGCTACCTGAAACAATTTCAAACTCGGGGTTAAACGAGCCGACCAGCAGACCCTATTTGTGAAAAGAATTAATATTTCATATAATGTGGTACTGGAAGATTTCTTGATAATGGATACAACCACAACAAAAGGTGGTGTATAAAAGTTGCACAAAAGAGTAGAACTGACGACAAAACATACTGAAAATACTTGGGAGAGAAAGTGAAAGAAGGTAAGAAGCCAGTCCCCACACCCAATGGTTTTCTACTCTTTCTGTCCCTTTCTTTGGCCATCTCCAGTACTTCAGTACTTAAAAGTGCTTATCCCTTGTTGCTATTTGCCTCAAATGCAGAACCAGAAAGAGAGAGGGGGGTGGGGGGATACAAGTACAGATGAAGTCTTTTTCATTAATGCCATTAGTATATTATTGTTTATTATTACTGCTATGTGGAAAAGTGTGGGGACATCAGCTGATTGGGATTTATCATTAAAGGAGGCCCACATAAGAGAGCCATAGGGCATCCTACGAAAGATGCTTATCTGATGGGCAAAAACGTTCTACCCCGGTCAAATTTCCCTCTTCCAGATGCGAAGCCCACAGACCAGTTGGTCGAAAGCTACAAGTGAAACAGGCCAAAGTTTTTTTGTGTTTATTGCCTTAGAACCAGGCATTAGTGTCTGATCTGATTAAAGAGCCTTTAATGCAAGCAATAGCCTCAAAGCCTCAAAATCGAGAGAATGAGAGAGACAAAAAGGGAAGTCGAAAGTCAGATTTCTAGTGATTCCCTGCAAAACCCATCTTTTCTGGTCTTTTGTATGTTTCATTTTCTTCTCTCTCTCATGTTCATGACTTCATTCACTCCACTTTATTACTGTTGGTGCTAGCTGCAGCTGTAGCTGACCTGCTGCTTCAGCAACTGGGGTTTCATGGGTGGGTATCTTCCTTCTTCCCTTTGTGGGTCCACTAATCGGGGCTTATTTTAAAGCTTTTAGCTCTATAGTTGTCAGCCATGCAGAGCTGTTTGCATGCATGGAAAACGGGAATGTTGCAGTGATTATGAAAGCTTCACTCCTTTTCTCTATCCCGAAACTACCCCCACACCGGTTTCTTCTTCTTCTCCTTCTCCACGTCCCATCGTCGACTCCAAACGAATTCCCACGTAAAACTTTCTTACGACGAACGCTTCGGGCTTTGAGAGAAAAGCCAGCCTGCAATGCAGCACGCATAGGGCGAAGTTCCCAAGTGTTGCTGCATAAATGTCTACTTACAATTTATTCATCCCTCTCAATCTCTCTGGCTCTCTGTGTATAGGTATTTTGTTCTTTACTTCGGAGATGCACAGCGTAGATAGATTTTATCAAGCTTATTTCAGATATTGCACTGCTTCTACTGGTAACTCTTTCCCAATATTAATTTTTAATCTCTTTTTATGCTTTTTGGTACAAAAAGGCTAGCTCAAAAGATGACTCTGACATCCACGTGTCAAGGAACAGAGGATGACGTGGATCACACATAGGCTCATGTATGTCCCAGAGTCGCTCCCTAATCTACTGTTGGCACTGGGCTGCAACAGCAAACCACTGCTGCCACTCCGAACAGAAAACTCCACCTTCTACACGGCATTTCTGTAGAGTCTCTACTCTATAAACCAAAGAACCAGCTTTTATAGGAGATCAAATCAGCTCCCCACATCTTCAAGCTTCAAGTGGACTGTGGCCGGTTCCATCATCTTCGTATGTGTGTGGAAGTATAGACGTTGGAAGCTACCATTTGTGAGATGTGATGTTAACATTTTCAGTTCCCTAGGGTTTTGTAGCAGGTAGCCAGCCCAATATTGACTGTTTAGAAGAAAAAGATCCTTTGCTGAACCGATCGATGCTTGGGTTTTTGAAAAGCGAGTCATGGGTCAACTGGTGCAGCTCAAACCTCAAACTGAGTTTCGAAATGCTTGGATTTTGAAACTGCCAGGTAATATCGTTGTTGATGCATATGGGTGGGTACTCCCTTGGACTGCATGTAAAATGAAGAACAATGAATAATGATAAATTTCCCTAGTTTTAATTTTCTGGTATTTCAGTTAACCTGAATGTTTTGATGGATGTTTGCACGATTTTCCAAATTTTCTTTTGGTGTTTCTCTTCAGAGTTCAGAATACGACTTATGAAAACTATAAAGAATGGGTTTCCAGTTTCCCTACAATTACTGCTCTCAGAAAAAATCATTAATTTTCCAGTCATTTTGTATGGAACAGAATATTGTAAAATGATATTCTTATTGGAAAATGGAAATCATTCGTTATTCTTCATTTTACATACAACCAAACAACGGAGCCTTGGTGACTAACAAGTAGGATTCTCTTTATCTGGATAGATATATAAGCATTAATAAAGCAGTGTTTCTAATTTTTTTTTTCCTTTTTCATGTGTTCAATTTCTTTCTCTCTCTCTCTATCTCTATATATATGTGGATTAAAGAATATATAATATCCACAGTAAGGGGACATTGGAGTAGACTCGTCAACAGTAGAACATGAGCTTCTTAACTTTTTCATTAAGTTTGGGCAATGGAGTTGTCTTTGGTGGGGCAGCTCGGGAGGGTGAAGCTGCAGCTGCTGCACTTCTTGCAAATGCTGCTGTGTCCGACCTCTCGAGGTAAAGCCTACCTCTATACGCAGCAAGGTGGGCATAGTACGCTGGAGGGACCAACGACACCGGCTTGGTGCACCTCACAAAAGTGTAGCATAGATTGTGCACCAGCTTCTGTAGTTCATCAGAGCTGAACCTGTTTTCATCCCACAAAACATGGTAATGGGTTGGCCGACTTGTCCCTTTCATTCCCCAGTGGCTACAAAGATAGAAATCAAATTCCTTTGGGTGGGTGATGACGGAATCTACAACAGTTCCTGGGGGTATGTTCTCATTGAAGATCTTGGCTCCAGCTGAAGATGAGTGATCTGTTTCTTTCTGAAACAACCTTGTGTGATGCCTTTTCTGAACTACCGTGAAGGTGATGCTAGGCTTATAACTGGGGAACCTACAACAGGCTGTTCTAATTGCCTGTAATTCCTCTTTAAGCACTTTATAGAACTGGGTCTCGCTCACCCCATCTCTGAAGAAGATAATCCTATTTGGAAGCTTGTTCATTTCCTGGTAGAAATCTTCCAGCAGTTCTCCCACCATTTCACCTAGATCCTGTATAATTTCCTGTCGATGGGTCTGTGATCTCATTCTTGAAATGTATTTATTGGCCGCAGGCCAGTTCATGCTGCCAACAACAGCGGCGACGGAGGGGCTGAAATCGTCCAGTGGGTGTGGATGGGTCACGTCGGCACCCATGAAAATTGCAGAATCATCAGGAGCAAACAGTCTTGGTATTTGGGAAGATAATGAGTTGTACAAAGCCACAGTGCACCCTCCAACCTTGGCATTGATTTTTAGAGCCAAATTTGCCAGAAATTGCGAGCTCGGCTTATCAAGATTGGGGTACAAGCAACACTGTGTAACAACCCCAACACCTGTCTCAGCAATACGTTTCAGATCTGCATATCCTTTATGCTTCCTCTCCATTACACATATAAGCAATTGGAGGTTGTTTGATGATGCTCTGTGGATTTTCTTGAGCTTGGATTCCAGTAAGGAGACATTGTTGAGGACTTGGATTGGTTCAAATTGGGGTTTACCGACTGTATTCTTGTTAAGAAAGATACCCAACTGTTCGCACCTTTGTGAGAGCTGGTTCATGAACCTCGAAATACTGGCTCTCTGATCTGGGGTGCCCCCAAAACTTATTAGTGCCCACCTTTCAATTCGTGTTCCTTCAAAAACATGGCTGTCCAAGAGGTTCCACTGTCGGTCATGCCGAGATGGAATTAGATTTGTTATATGACCGCCATCCCCTAGCTTCAACTTCGGAGGTTGAAGTACTCTCCCATTCAACTGGGTCATCTCTTCTGAAACATGGAACTTGAATTCTCTTCCATGGTCGCCACTGTTAATGGAAAACAAATCTTGGCCTTTAGCAACTTACAAATGATATTGCTCAAAGTTAAATTTAGGCAACAGGTAAGAAGGAAAAGTAAGAGTCATTGAGAAATCTCTGACTTACCTTGTTGGCCCAAATGATCCTACCATGACTCCATTGATAATTGCTTTTCTTTCTCTTGGCCTCTGGCAGCCCATCTCAAGGATCCTCGCCGTCTGATCATCTGAGAGCTTACCAAGAAATTTCTGTCCTTCACAGACCACACAGAGTTCCATAGGCAAGTAACACGGCTTACTCCTGCTAATTTGCAAACATGGCAAGTTCCTGAACTGTATATCATGGTTGTAATGATCCTTGAAGTAATCCACCAGTCTCAAATCCTTCCCATCCCTGTCCCTAAACCAGAGGTTTTCTGTAGCTTCCTCGGTTAAGCTAAAGACTCGGTACCGCTGATCAGTTTCTCTATGACATACAAATATCCTGATGTTTTTCAAAGCCTTCTCAACTTGTCTCTTCTCTTCCCTGGCCAAACCTCTGGTCTTCCTCTGAGAAAGGTCCCGCAGGAACTCAAGCCGCTTCTGCAGATAGGAGATTATGCCAATACTCTCATGGAAAGCTGTCACAGAGAAGTCGATATTAAGGGCTAGTCCTTGTTGGGTTGGTCTGAGGCTCTGGAAGAACCCTCTCAACCCAACTGCTCCTCCTCCAATATCTTTAGCTCCTCCCATTGTGCTGGAATAGAGTGACCTCCCAAGGGGTATACACTTCTCTGTTGGGCTCTCTCTGAAGACAATATCCAATGCATGGAGATAATCCTGTGGGAGAGGAGCCCAGTCCTCACCCTCCTTGCTCAAGTAGCTGCTCAGTTCCTTTCCGTCCAGCTTTGAAGCAAGCTTGATGTTTACCCGGAAGAGCTTATGTTGTGGGCGCTTCTCTGTCGTGTCGCTGCTCTCACCCACGGGCAACCATGCTTTGGCTGTGGGCATTGGGAGCCTAATGAAGAACTCAAGCTTGTCATTTTGGAACTCGACAGAGCTGAACAGATTCTTTCTGCCGTCAAAAGCTGGACGAGCACCTGATAGCATTTCAGAATAGTCCTGTACAAGTTTCTGCTTGATCATCCGAGCGACTTCCTTGGAAGGATGTGGAGAGATCTCAACATCGTAATGGAAAATTCGTTGGGAAGGATCAAACTGAACTAGGAAATGGTTGGCAAGTAGAGGGATTGCTGCACCATCAAGGCCACCATTATCTGGTCTCCTTGTTGCCACTAGAGACTGTGGATTGACGGTCATTTGCGCACTTTCATCTTCTCCTCCGGAGAGCTTCCCGGCCTTCTGCTGGAGGCCCTGTGGGACTGTTTTAAATATGTGAAAAAACAAGTCATGGCAAGAGAAGATTTTGTCATGATCGAACCATCGAAAACATATATTCTAGAGCAAAAAAAAGGGGAAAAAGCTTAAAAAAACAAACTTGAAACTCTGAAGTATAAGAGTTACCCAGTTGGATTCTTGTCAACAGTAAACTTCTCTTATGTTCAGAACTTAAGATTGGTAATGAACATTTGCATAACAAGGTTACATCTCCTAGTAAATTGTATCATACTTCCTCCCTTCCCCAGGAAAACAACAGAAACTGGAAAGAACGAAATAAAAGCAAAGCATGAAAGAGAAAAGATTTCATCCTTGTTGCTATATGTTCTTCGATCATCTTGAAGATAATTTCTTCTCAAAGAAGTGTATCGTGTTCTACTCCCAGCCAGAATAGAAGATAGAAACAGAAGAGAAAGGTATAGAAAAAACGAAAAAACGAAAGAAAACATTAGTTAAAAAAAGGACAGAAGGATTCCATATTCCTTCTAGCGTGTTCTTTATCATCTTGAAGCGATTCAGGTGCATGTTTTCACGTATGAGAGGAGTTCTTAGGTTCTCTTTATTAATCTATCATCAGGAACTTGGTATATACAGTTACTAAAGGGAATAACAGAGCAATGAGAGAAAATACTTTACCTTGTGAAACTGTTGAAACTGGGACCTGGAAATCAGGGGGGGTAGTTCTAGGAGGCTTCTTCTGCTTCCGTGAAGCCTTCTGCAAATGGGTATGTGATCTTAAGTTCTCGTTATGATGAGGCAGTGGAGTTGCAGGTAGCGGCAGAAGCAGTATTGGAGGAGGTAGAGGAAGAAGGCCCGGAAATGTTTGATAGCGGTTCTGGTAGTAAAAGCCATTACGATACGAATGCTGCAGCAGTTGATGATGATACTGATTAGGTTCCGTCCTCCCTCTGCAACTCCTGGTCTTAGAAGTGCATTTCCTGCCACTTTTTGGGTCTTCTGTTTCTTCCATTTTTTTGTTGAGAGAAAAACAGAACTAGAGAAAGGGGGATGATGATCATATGAGAGAAGGAGGATGTGGGGTTTGTGACTTTGTGTTGCTGACCTCCTTTGTGGTAGAGGCGTCTGAGGCTGTGCAGACAGTAGTAATTGCAGAGAGAGAGAGAGAGAGAGAGAGAGAGAGAGAGAATCGGTTTTGAATATTAGAGGGGTTGGGTTTTTTCTGTACAGTTCAGTTTGCAGAGGTGGATGATGCTGGCAATATAAATCCCAAGCGGAAAGGAGAGTCTGGGTTAACCTTAAAACAGAGGAAAAGGCTACAGCTACACACCCACAGAGGGAATCCATCAATCGCCTGCCTCTGCCTAGCCAATTTTTCTTTAAAAAAAAAAACAGGAAAAAGATAAAAGGAGAATAAAAGCAAATTTTGTTTTGGATTTATCCATGGAATGCAATGGGTAGGGTAGCTTAGCTATGCAAGTGCAAACCAAGGTGGTGTACCCAAACAGAGACCAGAGTTTTTTAAGTCACTTAACATGGTAACCAGTAAAACGGATGTCGATAGGAAACACTGACATTGGTGAAATTAGTAGAAAACAAAACACTCGACTCGCACACACATCTATGACCTTGGATGACCTAACAACCTTGCCAGATTAATTAATTCATTCTTCCAATTTCGTACTTTCTGTAACTTACTAACTGATGCGATTTTTTAGTTTAATTGGATGCTTCCAAGCTTCCAGCCCAAGGATATTCTACCATAGGAGAGTGAAAGACTGTTTGGGTTCTTACCAAGTTATCAATAACCATTTAACCACAGAGTGAAAGATGATACGACCTCTCCAGAACCTCATAGAAAGGAACTTTCATAATGAACAGAAAATGGGAAAAATGTAACTAAAACTAACTCAGGCATTGGATTCTTTTTATGACAGAGGCTGTTCTATAGCCCCTGTTGTGCAATTAAAGGATGGGGCCTCATAAGCAACTAATGTGGGATTATGCAGATTCCCTTGTACAGAGATGCCCAGCCATGGACATGACTCCCCTTGTACAGGCTGAGGGGATTCCTCAAAGGCTCAAACAAAGATAGTAATCATAAATGACTCATTTTGTTAACAATTCTCTCCCCACTTTCCACCTAGCCACCTATGGTCTAACATTACAACCAATATGACTAGTAATGAAATATATATATATAGAGAGAGAGAGAGAGAGAGAATCACTGTATATCAATTACTAACATGGGTTTTCTGATTTCAGCTACATGAGGGCTAAAATGAAAAATATTAAATTGCCAATCTAATGGAGCACCTCTGGATTATATATGGTGGAAAGATTTTCTGTTTCTCTCTTATATTCTATCAAACCAAAGACAGTCTTAATGTTCAGATAACAGGATAAGATTTAGATAAAATACATATATTGGTATCCAAGTAACAAATACTCACACGAGTTTCTAAACTTACTCTGCACTTATACTTCAGGTAACTGACAATTTACAGATGCCTTCACTTTGGCAGATAACATGTGATCACGTGATACATTTAGAATTTCATAATGGTAATTTTAACCTGTCAATCAAACGGTACTCTCAAACCCTTTTAAGAATCAAGCTGTACTTCTTAGCAGATTGTCTGAATTATCTAGATTAATGGCTGCATCTTTAATTTGGCCCATTTGTATGACATTTATCTCAAGGTAAATTGGCAGTTGAAACTTTAGGCTGTGTTTGGATTGATAAACTTGTTTCTCTCTTATTTTCTATCAAACCAAATATAGCCTAAGTAGATTGAAGATGATAAGATTCTTTTGGTTTTTGGTGATCATATGTTACACATGAGAGTAGCATTTTGTATTTTTGTATTAGAAAACAAGGATTCTTCAGGTTGCTTATTCTATCACAGGGTTAATTGTAATTTAAGCTGAAATCAGAGTGGAAATCTATTACATTTGACACGTGGCAAAGGGTTACTCACCTGAACTTACCACCCAGGCTGCCATGTGGTGAAACAGGAATCCAGGCCTGTTTTTTATAAATTCTTCATTTCAATAATAACTTAATAGAAGCTTGTATTGATAACAATTTTTTTTGCCTCCAGATAGTGGGTCGCCAGTTCGACCATCCATTCAGGTTGAATGAGTCAGATCGTAATATATATATATCAAAAAATTACCCCAAAATAATATGATCGGATTTGGAAGTTTATATATACATTTAGTATATAATCTATGCTTCTGTGAGGAGGGCGAACGGTTCAACTACCTGAGTCAAATGATTTTTGACCAAGTCAACAGATTTTGAAAGACTTTCAAGTTTTATGATAAATAGGCCCTGTATCATGACGGGATGACGATTCAAACGATTCAACCATCAAAATCAATGGCGGGTTGAAAACTCATTGAGAACAAGGGGAAAAAGGACTGTGGTTTCTAGCCCTAGGACACCCTTCTAGGAAAGAATACTAGGTCACCTCTAGACCCAATATTCAATAGCATCATGTGCTCACTCCTTCTAGCATGCATGAGTATAATAAAAATTAAAAAAGATGGAGAGATACTGTAAGACCCACGGCACTGTGTCTTCTCGTCTCCTTGGCCATCCTTTGCTTACACTTTATTTATTGTTCCACAAACTTTAAGCCTTGCTTTTGCCTCATCTTTTGCCTACATGCTTATGGTAGTGGCATTGAAAGGACCCACCTATCCACTTAGGGGTTATGGGTCTCTTGTTTTTTTCTTTGTTATTTATTCCAGTTTTTTTAAGGAGATAGTCCGAATGTGCTGATTAGACATTTTAGTGGAGCCTACCTAGCAGAAGGAAGATATATATCTTAGAGGAGCCTAGGGCGTTCTATTCTTCTAAGTGCTGGATTTATCATATATAGCCAATCACTAATTTACTTCTTGCCTCTATTGCTTTTGTCTACTTCTTATATTTCTGATAATTTCTAACATTGAAACTCTTAGGTGGCATTTGATAAAACTGAAGTCTCGTATGTTAAAAGCAAGGACATACAAGAGCATGTGATATGTACATGTGTATGTTTTGATCATAAATAAGATACATGGTATTTGGATTTAACCTTTATTATCTGTACAAAACCCAAGGCAAATATCTTATTTATATTGTAGTATATCTAATATCTTAAAATAAAAATAAAAAAATGCTTTCCTATTATTTTTAAAGCATACGTAATATTAAAAAAAAAGACAATTTAATCATTATTATCCATTTGAAACATGTGTTTTGGTGCATAAATCACCTCTTACCAAATCAGACCTATTATCATTTTTCAGAGGCATGATTCAGACATTAACATATAATTACACAAATGACACCCAATCTCTGAAAACCCTATTTCAGTGTTATCAAACACCACCTTAGTATTTCATTATTTGCATTCATTATATTTGTCATTGAATTAAGAACAAGACCCTAGATTTGTGCAAGAATTTTTCTCATAAACAAAGTTCAAAGTAACAATATTGCATATATGTTGCAATGCTTGGGACCCAGCATTGGGAAGTTTGAGGCACGAATGGACATATATGAAAGATACTAAATTTTAACGTATTAAATGCAAAAAAAAAAAAATTAAGTCTACATAATTTATTTATTATCAACACTGCACAAATTATGGTAGCTTTTGGTTTTTGAATTGTTTTTTAAATCATTAGCAACACATGAAACTTTAGTGCTAAGAATTCGTTGTCGGTACCGGCGATCAAACTGTTTGACCCCAAAACCGGTCCTTAAGGGATTTTTACCAAAAACCGCGGACTCAGTTGGAAAATTGCTGACCCAGATGGTTTGTACCGCTGAACTGTTTGGTGTGGGCAACAGTTCAAGGTTTAATAGTAAAATAATGAAATTATTATTAAAAACTACAATAATAAAAATGTTTAAAAAACAGAGAAGGGTTTTGAGTCTTTTTGACCGACTGGATGAAAGATTGATTTATTAGAGAAGAGAGAATCAAAGCTTATTCATTCTTCTTTCCTTCTTTCTGTTTTTTTTCTCTTCCGCCTAAAATTATATATATATGATCCATCATTCTGATCTAAAGGTGAAAACTAATTCAACCGTTTGAATCATCATTGGCTTGAATGATCGAACCACTAACATAAAACCCAGTGGCGAAAATCCATTCTTGGATACATATAACCAACCAACCTTATATAATTGAGATAAGGGTTGGATGATGATAAGAATAAAATGCATAAAAAATTAGCTTAATAATAATATAAATGCAATTATCTCATGTTCAAACAAACTTAGTTTATTGTTTAAATTTAGACTACAAAACTATTTTTATCCACCCAATATACATTTCTGTAGCTCATCTTTTAAGACTACTTCAATCCAACAAATTATATTTACTAGATTCTTTTGTACATGGGGTACGTATAGGGAACAATGGTTTCCACACGTTCCATGTTTTAATAATCAGGTTACTCAGTTGAGTGGGTCTCAATTAAAACTTTTTCATTTTAATAGCTGGGTCCCAATTAGAACATGGTCCTGCCATATATCAACAAACCAAATGATTTTGAGCATCTGATTTAGAAAATTATCTGTGCTAGTACGTTCTTTCATTCGCTCTTCTTCTGCTTCTTCTGATAATAAGAACAGCAGGGCTAAATCATTCTACCCTATTGAAGCTCTCCACGAGATTGATTTGATATGGTTTGTTATTAGCTTTACTGTTCATCTTGTCCCCTTTGTATTTTATATGAATTGAAATTAATGTTTTCGAATCGTGGTTGATTTAGATGGTCGAACTGTTCGGTTCAGGAATTGTTCAGGTAAATTGGTTCTGTTTTACTTTAAATACGGTATTTGGCAAAAAATTGTTAAATTGGTCAGTGATTTGCTGATTCGGGCGATTAAACCGTTAATACATTCAACAGTTTTGGTCATTTTTTATTTTTTCATTAAAATAGGTCATTCATTCAAATCAAATGATCGAACTATCAACTCAAAAACCAGTGGCCAGAATGATTCTAATTCCAAGTCATTTTTTAAAATCTTAACTGAAATTGATCATACCGGTGAATATCAATGGAACTTGGTGAGATTATTCAGCTCGGCCTCTATATATATCTGAAATGGCCGATATGTTTCGGCCGGTATCATATGCCAAGTGCCAACAACAAACATATGACGTGGTTTTCTTCCCCTTTGATTTATCGGGTATTCAAGCATAAAGAATCATTTCCAATGTATGGGATTTCGTAGCTACAAAGTATCATGCATGCATGGATTCCTAGGATTTGTATACTGGAGTTTATCATAGTTGAAATAAACAAGAAAACATATGATATAATAAGGGCTTTGGACTCGAATTAAATACTATATTGCCTTGAGTGTCCACCTTTTGTTCAAAATGAAAATCAATAATAGGTGTTTGGATCTCACTTGAAATAATCAATTTGTTTTAATAGTTTGGGTGGGTCCAATTCAAGTCCAGTTCAAACCAATCCAAACTTTTGCATAGGTTGGATCTGAGGCTTTGGACTTCAAACCATGGTTTTCAAAACTGGACTGGACCAGGCGGTCGGACCAGAAAAATTGGGAACTGGTCAAGTGACTGGTTTTGTTTTTCTAAAAAATCGAATTTTCCCTCAAAATCGTTGATTTTGGTCAGTAAACTGTTGAATCGGGCAATTAATCGTTCGAACAGTTTTAATCGTTTTTTATTTTTTTGTCAAAACGGGCCAAACATTCGGTTTGAACGATTAAAGCATTCAACCTGATAACTGGACCTCTGACTAGTTCGGTTTTAAAAACCATGCTTCGGACTAAAAACTTGGATTTACATAAATTCAAATTGGGGCTTAGGTTGTGGGTTCAGTTAGGTGGTAGTCAAGTCTGACTTGACCAACCCGTCCAGCCCAATTCAAGTTATATTGGATTAAATTTTGGATTGGGCCTAAATTCATACTCATACTAGACGTTGGGTTAGGATTTGAATTTTTAGGTTTGGGCTTAGGTTGACCCGCCTGACCCAATCCGTCCAAATTGCACGCATAGTGTTCAGTAGCCTCTCATATATAACTTTCTAACTTTTTCAGTAGCGTTTGAGCCCATACGTAATCCTCTGATATGGTGAAAATATGGAAATAAAATCAATTTATGAATTTAACCTTAATACGGTAAATTCAATTGAAAGTTTATAAACTAGTACTTCCAGTGATTCGGTTGTTGGGCATATAATATGAAAGATGACAGACAGCAGATCAACCCCTCACCCCTGAACCTTGGAAACATGAACAACAATTTACGGACTGGGGAGTCCCAAAAACATACGCCATTTACGGGCCGGATTGGAAATGTCTCGTATAAAAGCTGATTTTGACCCTTGAGTTCTGTGCACGCTAATGTGTAGGAGTTGGGATCTCCTGCCAATACAACACTTCCAACAACCTACCAACATGATCGATCTATCATCGCACATTTCACCTTGAAATTGGGATTCATCATGTATCAGATGTGTGGTGTCAGATAATGTTAGGAGTGTTGGAAGGCATTTTATTGGCAGGTGATCTTAACTCTAATGTGTACTGGGGTTACTTGTACGTGGGTTCCTTCAAGGAGGTTTGTGTTTTGTGAAGGTTTTGGAAGATCAGGAAATCTTTTTTTTTTTTTTGTTTTCCTTTTTTTTTCATACAAGTACGTCCAAGAGAAGCTACAAATTGAAATATAAAATGGTCGAATTTAATAATATCCAACCAGGATATGACCCTTTGTATATCTGAGAATCTAAATAAAATTGATTATATTTTAAGCATATATATAATATTTAAATCATGTGTTTTGGATGAAAGAAAAAATAGAGAAAAAAGAATTCTAAGGTCCCATTTGATTCACAGGAATAGGGGTCTGGAATTGGAATCAGAATGGATCATTCTAATTTCAACTGTTTGGTTGGGCAGAATCAGAATCTCATTCCCATTCTTGGTGGAATGACATTCCCCCATTTAAGGGAATGGGCATTCCTCTCCCTTGGAATGAAATCCCATTTCAATTCTTGTTTAAATCAAACAGATTATGGGAATTGACCATTCCAATTCCAATTTTGAAGGATTTCAATTCCAAATTCCAGTTCCAACTGCAAACTAAACGGGCCATAAGATATTATCACCTTTTTTGTGCTGTTAGCAAATACATGTAGGTAATAGGTAGAGGACTAGAGGTGTAATGTGGGCTGTGTTGGGTCGACACAACCCACTTTTGCAGGCTGCCCATACTGTAGCGTTTGTGCTAGGTTGGCATGCCATGCTGGCCTAAGCAGGCCATGCTTGCCTGGCCCGAAACCTTCAAAAGGGAAGCTCAGCACTACCAACGACATAAGCCCAACTGGGCCTGGCTGGGCTGGGCCAGGCCATGTGCCATGATTTAAAAAAAAATTGAAAAGAAAAATTAAATTTTGATGTATACAATTATATATATATAAACCCGACATGGCCAGTTGCTACACTGACTGGGGCACGGCCCATGTTGTGCCAGGCCGTGCCGCACAGTCCGCTTTAAAACTCTGCATTACGTAAAATAAAGACACCAGAACCCAATTCTTATCTCTCTCTATATTCCTTTGGAAGCTTAAGCCTCTCATAGCTCATACCTATCAAGAGATTATCGTGAAATGCATTTGAACTATAAAAGTCTATTTAAAAAGTTAAAATTATGGTGATGAGAAGTCCCATAATTAAGACGTTAAATCGCCAAGCAGATGGGAGGGAGATCAAGAGTGGTCCTCCAAAGAGACAATTCTCCATCGTTGCTCAGTCGTCGAAAATGACGAAGAAGAGGATCCCATGTCTGTGCAAGTGCAAGTGTGTGGATTCTCCTCCTGTGTCAGCACCTGATGCACTTCAGCATCTCTTGCATCCTTTATCTTCTCCTGATTTTTCTTGCATGCATTTTGTGAGCTTATTAATTGTTCTGACCTCTCTGGTTGGAACTTTCAGATCCAAACTCAAACTTCAAGCATTCAGGAATCCAATTGAAGGCATAAAGAGAGGCCGAGCACTTCCTCTCATATTTCACCCTCTTAATTGTTGCTTTAAGCTGAGATGCTCGTCCCATCGTCTGTATTCTCAAAAGGAGAGTAGTATAACGATGACCCAATATCATCAACAAACTGAAAGTCCATGATATATAACAAGATAAACTCCCTCATTCTGTCCACTCTTTTCCTCTCCTTTACCGCCTCTACTGCAACCATATGCAGAGGAGGCTTGGTCCATATCACTCCACTTGAAGTCCAGACCCGGTTCTCTTACTTCCTCGTCTACCTTGGCAGTGAAACTTGGTTCCAGATTAATACATGTAGCAGTGGTACTAGCTAGTGGTCGTGATACATGTAGTACTGGTAGTGGTGTCGGTGGTGGTTGAATCGTCGGGATCATTAAAGAAATCAGAAAATTGTTTGTCTTGTATCTCTTCTGCTACTTCTCTAGATTGTTATTGTTGTTGTTTCTGCTGTTGCTTTTGGCTTGTGGATAAAGAACTAGCCGTAGATGCAGAAGAATTATTTCTGGCTTTGAGTCTAAGGAGGAGATTGGTGATTTTTGAGGGAAGAGCCGAAGACGAAGATAAATAAGGCCAGAAATTGGTAGAGTATTGGTGTCAAGAAGCGAACAAGCAGCTTAATTGTAGGCCATGGCTGCTTCTTCAGCCGTGTCAAAGATGCCCAACCACACCTTTATCTCTGCCACCCACCACCCTGATGGATTCACATCTGCGCCCCACAGCACATTCCAACCGTGTATTTAGAACATCTCTGAATGATGACTTCGGGAGATGTTCCCAATACACACTGAGATGTGCATATTGGGCGCCCCACAAGTGAGGATGGATTTCTGGACCATAGGGGGGCCATGGCTCCCCTAGGTCCACCTGACTCTGCCTCTGGCCGTCTTATTCATCATCTCATCCCACCTTACAATTCCTTGACTAAGTGGGTGAATCCAATTCAACCAGTCAGAAAAAGATAAAATAAACGGAAAAATACGGACATGCCTAATGCAGATTTCCACTAAGTTATAAACATTCAAAATGTCAACAACTCATACTCTATGCACCAACGCCAGCCCATGAATTGGCATCAATTCCGAGTTAGCACCTACCCCAACAGTATTTTGGGCTTACAAATTCTGACCCTGAGCTGAACCGTCATTCACCCAGAGCAAGGACTTACCTTCAGTTTGCTCTGATTCATTCCAACTCCCCTTCCCCCCATTTTTTTCATCCAAGCCCTAGACCCGGAGCAAGAGACCACCGGTGATTTCACTGCACAACTGAGCTCCAAAAGTGTGGAGTCAACCAGCGGCAAGAATCAACCGATGGTAAGCATCTGTTCCTCTCTTTCCAATCTTATTCTTCTTCGAATCTACTTTCTCTTCTTTGAATCTCCCTCCAGGGATCCACTATGGCAACTTAGATTCATTTCACCTGATAAATCTTTGAATCTTCTTCCTGGATTTATCTTTTATTTTTTATTTACAGGTTTAAGAAGCACTGAGTTCACAAAGAAGAAGAAGAAGAAGAAGAGATTACCACCGATTGCCGGTTGATCCATTTCTGTCGGACGTCAGTTGGTCGTCGGTGGTCTGAGGTTTGGATGAGTGGGGGTGGCCGGGTGGGAGGAGAGTTCGAATGAGAGAGGGAATCATTCTTTTGAAGCTTCAAAATGGGGTTTTTTCTTTTTTTTTTCTCTTTTAGCGGCCAGTTCAACCGACCATTTAAATGGTTAATATTGCAGTCCCGTTAACTTTATGTTAGGACCCATTGAGCAACGTGCATGCCTCCTGGAGGGTACATGCTCTCCGTGAACTGACGGGTTCATTGGATTCGAGATCCTAAACATAGTGGGGCACGCAAAGAAATTGTACCGGAGATGTTCTTAATGCACGCTGAGATGTGCATGTGGGGCATGTTCTGTGGGTGCCAATTTATGTTGTTTTTCTTACGGCTCCATTTAGGAGTACAAATATAAATATGTACAGTATAAATACAAACGAAATACAAAATATAAGATTTTGCCCTCTACATATTTGCATTTGTACTCCTTCCAAACTGAGCCTACAAGGCTACAATACACAAAGATCTTTCGTAAGTTCATAACAAAGATCTGATAATGAATGTTTCCTTATGTATTCCTTGACTACATTAGTAAAGGGAGCTTAGAAATTATAGGGGTTGTTCTATGCAATAATAAATTAATAATACAATGGAAAAATGCTTTGTTAAAATCCCACAACAACAACGGAAGCAGCGAGGTATACTAAAAACATGCTAGAATGCATGTTAGGTAGATCATCCTGATCCTATCCTCCATCTTCCCTAGTAGTGACACTAGAAAATAATTGTTACAGATCAAAAGAAGGCAAATCCTATCTCCAACTTCAAACTTCAGCAGGTGTTAGAAGGGGAGAAGTATGGCCATCACTGTTTGTAGAGTACTGGATTGGCATCATAGCTGGGTCCCGATAAGCAGTAACCAGTTTATCGAGAAATTCATCCATTGAAGGATCATTCTTGTCTTCTTTGTCTTTCTTTATTAGACTCTGTACCGAATAAACAACTCAGTACAATGCAAGGACAATAGGGGCATCAAACATAGTGAAAGGAAAGGAAATAATAAACAATGATCAAGTAAAAATGGAGCTTGCCCAGGGATAAGTTGTTGGAATAATTAGACAAGGATTTGCAATGAGACGTCAATTAATTAAAAGATTGACATCAAGAAATTACCCTAAAGCAACAATTGCCTTGAGAATTAACTGGAAGAAATCAAAGACAACTCATAGAATTAGAGCTAGACATCGGTACACTCGTAGTAGGATCATCCTACTGGTTGTATTAAGAAGAATATAAGGTGTCATACTGACTAGAGGTAGAAGAAGGGCCACCATAATAGCACATTTTGGGTTTGCTATACCACTCCTTTTAGTGAGCCATATGGCATCAACTAGTAAATTGAGAAATGCAACAAAACCCCCTACTAATCTAAGATGGTCCATCAACCTGTCACTCTTCTAACCAGCCTTGACCTTCAGGCCAAAGAGGAAGCTCTATATCACCTTTATTGCCAACTTTAAGACCATCCGATAGGAAACAATTACTGAATTTTACACTGGTGCCCTGGAATAAATTTTTCATCGTAATTGTAAATAGTAATTAAAATCCTTTTTTTCACTGAACAAATATTTCTTTCATTTTCTCATTAAACCATTGGATGGTGTATCCGTTAACAAGAAATAAGGCATGATGAGTCAAGATATTCCCCCCAATAATAGGTAGCTTTTGATTGTACCTTTAATTTTTCATATAATCCTAGTTCTCCCTTGTTGGGAAGCATTTTTCCACTAAATTTCATCAATCAGTTCTGATGGTCAAGGTAGAAAGGGGCTACATAATTTCCTTGCAAAAGAATAGCTTCCAATATATCAGTCTCTTATCTCCTGTTGCTTTTTAAATATCAATGATCTCCCTGGACATTTTTATTTTTCATTTCTTCACCTACCCAAACAAAGTATGTCAAATTTAGTTGACCAAAACAGCATACGTTATCAAATTCCTTTATTTTTAAAATAAATACACACCTTGCTTTGTTCATTGACTAAATTAAAGAATGACCTCCATTTAAACTATACCCCAAGTGACAAACTTAGGGGTAATATTTATACTTGTGAAATATAATATATCAGCTTCAGCACCTAAATTTGAGAAATTACTAATAAGCAGTCAGTGACCTAGCTCAAGTGGATGACAACACACATAATGACATAGAAATGAATTAGAGGCAAAGCCAAGAAGGGGAAAATTGAGGCTGGAAGGAGCTCAGTGCACATCCAAAAATGTGTGTGAGTAGAGCAATTTTTTTTTTGTCAATACATCAAGAAAGGACAAAGCCCGTGATATTAAGTTCAATTAGTATAATAGCTTTTTCTTCATCTATTATGCTAATGAAATTGTTTAAAAAATGACTTAAACTTCTAGGTTGATGAACAGAACTTGACATTGTCAATAAAACACTTACATGGAATACACTACAAAGACTAGAGAGTTCTTGTCTTTCCATGCCCTTCAACTTGTAACTTCTAAGTTGATTAACAGAAGATTATTTTGTCAATAAAACACTTAAATGGAAGACACTAAAAAGACTAAGGAGTTATTATCCTTCTTTTCCCTCCAATATTAAGATCCAATAGTGGAGGAGGAATAACCCATAGAACCACATAAAGACATCAGGACATAATCTGGCATGAGAATCCATAATTTAGTATTAGGTGGTCCATCATTAAGATCTAGTGTAAGAATTCTATTCACAAAAGGAGAAAATCTCTCAATTGGAAGTGACAGCTCCAAAGAGATCTTACAAGGAAATACCCAACTCATATGCCATCCAGGTTCTTCTACTATCCACACGATTAGAAACATTAGCCCTTCTGCAGTCACTCCACAAGTGCCTTTCAAATTATTTCACATCACTCTCTGCTAACTGCTAATAACCAGACATTTCTGTACTGCAGTCTGATGTAAAAATAGGAAAGGACTGATGAAGTGAGATGCTTTCGTACAATACATTCTCCTACAGTTGTGCTTTATCATGTTTGGGAACTGCTCATAAACCCTCAGCCACAATTCTACATTAAGAAATCCCTTCTACATACAAATCCAAACACTCATTTTTTTCATTACAGGAACGGAGTCATCTGCACCCTATTTTTCTCCAATGATCCTTTCTCAGACACTACTAACATTACAAGATCTCCAAAGCCAGCTGCACAATAAGCCTCTACTTGGGGATCTTAACGGTTTCACATTTGAGGCCCCATTTCTCTTCTTGGGAAATGCCTTCCTCAATCTCACCAGGTTTTCTTTGAACTTTTGACCACATATCAAGCAGGAGTTTCTATAAAAATGAAAGTAATATAAAAACGGCTGGTTGGGAGTAGAACCAAACTTACCTCATAGAAATTTAGCCAACATACTTTAGATAACAGCTTAAATATGAATATTTGTACCCAAAAATAACCATCAAGTCATCCATATGTTTGGATAAAGTATACGAGAAAATGTTCAACCACTCTTGCCCCCACTGTGTCCAGTGTTCAGTCTGGGTGAGTGGCCAATCCTTGGTTATATAGTACTTTTAACTGAATTAGAAGTCATACTCAAGGCTATGTTTGGTTTAAAGGAAAAAAAGGTAGGGAAAGGAAGGGAAAGTCAGGGAAACCTAATACAAGGTTTGTAAAGGTTTCCCTGCCTTTCCCTTCCTTTCCCTACTATTTCCTTCAAACCAAACACAGCCCAAATGAAATAGTCAGTTTTATACTAAACATGTGTTTACTAGATAACTTTCATTAAAAAAATCAGCTCAGCATCTTAACCTTATAGAGGATAATATACACAATCCACAGTATATTGAGGATAAAATAATTGCAGACAACCTATATTCTATCTCAAAAATGAAACCAGGATAAGGATGCACGTACAAAATATTCATTGGAACACATTCTGGAGGAAGATGTGTGACCACAAAAAGTGAAACCTCCTTTACTGCCATCCAGAATATGAGGTTTGGATGTCCCCCCAATGCCCCTTGCATCAAACTTAATTTCCAGGGCTTGAAAAGGAAACAGTCCAGAAAAAACTTAACTATGAAAAAAATTAGGAAGATCTCATCCATATATGATTGCTAAGGGCATAGGTCCAGAGTTTGCTCTAACAAAATACCATATACTCTTTCTAAACCGTTGAGAAATTTAGAACTTTAGAAGGATAACTCAGGATTTTGTAAATTTCAATCAGTGCATAAAACATAGGATAAGCCACTGAACTATCAGTTGTAGCAGGTAAACATACCTCTGCAGAATAAGCAATGAAAACGGGTAGGAAACGTTTCCGACAATACTCATTGAACAGTAATGTTAGAACTAGAAGAGGAATGGTTAAGCTTGATGCTAAAGGAAGTTTCTTCAAACCAAATATTCCAATTGCAATAGCTTGCATCAGTATCAAAGAAAATATTGTTGAGTTGTGCACTATAGGCCAAAACTTTCCACCAGTTTCAAACTTGGGGGCATATACATTTAATAGCTGCACAGAAAAGTTGGCATTTATTAGTGAAGATGGTATTAAACTAGTTCCATAATGTTTAATGGTTCAGAATGACCGTCTAGCAGTCTTTACCAAGAAATCTGAACACTAGAAGGAAACATCCAAGGGGAAAGAAGGAAAAATGAAAAAAAAAAAGAAATAAATGGGAATGACAATTTTCTGGGAAAAAGTAGAAGATAGTTTACATAAATAAAAGGTTCTATATCAATGGTTAACAAAAAATGGCCTTCATCAGTTGATTTATTTTTCTTCTTTCCTATTTCTTTCTTTCTTTTGTAGTTTTGCTGCATTTTTGTGTCCTTAGCAATAAATATTTGCGTGGAGTTTCTTTTCTCACAAGGCATTTGAAACATGAGATATGGAGTAAACTCTGCTACCACCAGATACTGACGAAATTGGTACACTCAATCATCAGTCATGACAATTCATAGGTTGGATGAATCCAACCAACTTATTAAGCATTTGTAAGAAATATGCTATAAGCAACCATCCCAAATAAATAAGCTAGGGGAGATATCATCCTTGTTTACTAAGGCCCAAATGGAGTAGTGTCCAACTTATGCTCAAAGGTGTAAGTCTTATATAAGCTAGTTTGGGTGGTTGTCATTAACTGATTGCCTGATGACAAAAGACAAACTTTTTCTTTGATATATTTCATCAGGAAGGCAGAAAAAACATGGTTTCCAAAATCAACATCTTGTTCAAATGGATTGTAAGGTGCACCAATTCATCTGGCATTATGGATAGAGGGGCTGGGAGGTGCAAATTGTATTTGGTAATGGCTCTTCTAGGGTAGCCCTGTTGTATTGCAGGCCCTTTTTCATTTTGGTGTTAGCCGTCTCTTCGGGATTTCTCAGCTCCACCTCTCTTCTTTTGGGCTGTTGAGTCTTGTATGTGCTATCCCTTTCTTTCTTTCTTTCTTTTATAATAACGTCCATAATTGGTAAGAAAACCAAAATATCAGCAACCATAATAATCCTGTACCAAATTCATCAAACCAACTCGATTATTGAATGAAAACATCATTAACCAGTTCTTAGGTCAAGTCTTAATAGTCTACAACTGACAGAATATGGCCAACGATCTAGAAAATCAACAAATGAGCACAAAAGGCATGAACTTTTTTCATGGATTCTTTGCGCTAATAGCTAGAAAATTGTTCCTACCCCCAAAGAAGTGAATGCTGACATCTCGCCCCTGTTTTTTAGTAATACAATTTTCACACCATTTATTAAAAAAAGTGAATGCTGACATCATTGTAGTGCTTATATCAAAATGATAAAATAGGAGAACATTAAAAAAATACATAAATCAAGTAATCAAGCTGTTCAACTGACCTGATTACGGTAGATAATATACCCGAGACAATAATAAACTAACAGGAAAGGCAGAATTAATGGAGCCAGAAGGAAATATGTAATGCCAAGGAGCCCAAAGAAGAGAATTCTAGGAATTTCTCTGTGGTAAGGAATAGAGGGAACTTCAAACTCATCTGCATAACTTCCTGAACAATGTCTTCTTATAAAATCCCAGATGAGAGGGATCACACGAAAGAGTTCTGATGATAGACTGGTCCACCCAGATGTGACAACATAGGCAATGAAGAATGATGCCTACACCCAAAATAATAAAAAATACCTTTATCTTAAATCCTCACAAAAGGATAGCTGGTTTCAGGAAGAGAAAGTCAGAAATATCCACATATTACAAATCATTATTGTTACCCAGCTTTGCATGTAGTTTACATTTGAGTTCAGTTTGTTTCAGGTTTCAGGGATATGAATCTCACTGAGCACTTTTAGTTGTTCTATGATTTTCATTGCATCACAAAATCAACAAGCACAAAAATATAAACAGAATTATGGTCTCAGTGGACACAAATATTGTCTCCATTATGCCATACTATACATATGGCCTACCTCATTTTTTTTATCAGTAATTGGTTATGCTTTATTGAATTGAATTATATGCAATAATGATATACAAGCTATATATTCACTATGTTTTTACAATTTGGTCCCTTCAGTGACAGGTGCTAAAACCATCTACAGTTTTGTAGCCCCAGACTCAGCACACTCCCTCTTGGAAATATTGCTGATAATTTGAAGCATGGCTACAATGTCATAAAGTAATCTTCCATACTAGGAAAATAAGGGCATATTTAAGTGCTGAACTTGACCTCAATAAGTTGAAATCCACCTTAATTAAAAAAAAAAAAGTCTGGAAGAACGATGGAAATATGTTTTTACCTGAGATGGAACAGCTATAGCTAACTTCCCTGGAATATTCTTGGGCTCAAGGAAAATATTAATTTGATATAGAGCTGATCCGGATAGTACATTTGCAAAGAAAATGTTCCATATGGTGAACCAGAGTACTTTCTTACAAGCACTTATTTCAATCTGACTATGGGAGATATATCCTTGCATGGAGGAAAAGATCTTCATGATGGGAGACACAATTTTTAGAAACAACTGAAGAATGAGGCTTGGAAGATATCCAGTAATTACTTGACTGACAAATGCTCTGCACATTAATGAATTACTTTATCAGTATCTTTCTTAAACTTTCGTCAAAAAATAATAGCCGATTGCTATCTGGAAAACAATTACAGTTTGGACATCAAAATGGCTCATGCTCAACCATTTATAACATCTTCTTGCAAAACATAAAATGCTACTGCAGTTAAAAAAGCATCACAAGCTTTTATTTTGTTCAGTAAGATAGAATTAAGAAGGAACTATGGCTTTGTATATTCACAAGAGATTGGGGAAAGAACACTAAAATCTAGTATCACAAAACATGTTCACCATCTACAATGAAAAGAGAAGCAGAGAGAATGGTTAATCCTCTGGATTCTTCCATAGTTAATCAAGGAAAGTGACCAGTCAATGCCTAGGACAAGACATTTTTGCAGGGAGGGGACACAAGGAAAAGGGCATGGAAGACAGTTTTGCAGGAAATTAGTCAACTTTGTATATTTGCACACAAGTTAGGTGCCCTCTCAGATAAGGAAAAGGGCATAGCAGACATCTTATCATATGTTGTGTATACTTTGTTGCATTTTATTTGTGTTCTACAATACAAAGATCATACAGCATATATATATTGGAGTGCTGTTCATTACTTTATTTGATTTTTGCTGCAATACTTCCTTGGGTTGAATGTTCTGTTACTTTGATTATTTCCTCTGGTTCACTATGCTATTGATTGTGCTTTTCTTATTTGTTTGAATTCTTTCTATATGAAAATTCATTACTTAAATATGATTCACTGTTTGTTGAATGGAATATTGAAATTTATGATTGAAAGTGATATTGATGAAGTAATATGTCTTGATGTGCAATGTTCATTATTATTGCCTTCATTTTAGTATTTTTCAATATAGAATACTAATAATTTGAAAAAAAAAAGCACATGTCATCATGGATAATATCCAACAAATACAGGTCTTATTTGTCTAAAACTACCAAGGCACCCGTCTAAACACTTAGGAAACAAGATATTACCCTGTCACCTAGTCTCACCTGCTGCCTTTATGACCAGAGTTTCCAAATATGAATAACATTTTACCCAATGAACAAAGTGATGAAGAACCTGTAGACATTCTATAATACAACTTGAACTCTTCTAGACAAAGATGTAGGATCCTTAATACATATTACTACTAACTTAGAATTAAAAGCAGTAAAGATACCAATAATATGACAAATGCAAGCAAAGGTAGGTCATTCATGGAAAGCTAGAAGCTGAATCAACCCAATACAGTAATAAACTTTATGCATCTAAAACATAAGCCATAATCACTATGATCTTTCTTCTTTGGTAAATGACAGAGTTACTAGTAAGAGAACATACTACATGAAAAGAGAAATTACACAGGGAAAATGCAAGAAAAGACATGTACACCCCAAGCAGGCAAATAACTGTGAAAACACCAACCTGAAGGAAGCAAAAAAAGAAAAAAAAAAAAAAAGAAGAAGAAACTTTTCAACACAAAATTGCCCATGACACAGCACCCATAACTGACCGACACCACTCAAAAACAGACCACTGCTAAGTCAATGCTCACAAGGCCAAGCCAGAAACAACCTCTTCATCAAGGAAGAAGTGTTTCCTCTTTTCTCACTTGTCTCTCATTGTGTTCAACTCTGAATCTGAAGCTTTGCTTGCCAACTAGACTTTTCAGTCTAATCACATTGCCTCCAATTACCACCGTGCATGATTATGTAGCACTTCAAAACAATTATAAGCCCTTAATTGACCAAGTAGGAGAAAGGCACCAAGAAGACAAACCAGTTCTCAAATGCCACCATAAGGTAATGCTTTTTAGACAGTTTCCTATATAGAAACACTGGACCCTCTATGTATGCTTTGTATCATATTCAAGTTTTTTAAAATATTCCACTGACCATTGAGGATCTCCAATGTATAGCTATGAAGTTTTGGTTTGGTTAGGCATTTTGACAGGTGCAAATGAGAATAATTTTGTGGAAATTCATAGGTTTTGTTTAGAAGTCTGGAAAATCTTGGGAAATTAGGGAGAGATTAGAAAATATAAGAAAGCATGGAATTTATTAATGAACATTAGGAATTGTTAAAGAGGCATAATTACACACTCAAAACCTAAAGAATATAATCCAACATGTACAACAAATGAATGGTGGTTACCCTTGTAAATCAAATATAACTCTCATATCCTGACTTCCTTTTGGGTTATCTAAAATCATCTATGACTTGAATTCTATGGCCAGAATATTAGATAAGGATGTTAATTATTACTATAATTATTATATTACTGCACAGTTATTATAAAATATAATTATTCTTAAATTAACTATTCAATTATTTTTTTAAAAAATTATTTACATTTGAAAAAAAAAACTCAATTAAAGTTGTTGATTGGTCTAAAATCAACAAAGCCAAATAAAAAAGTCCATTACCCAATGTTGGTCCCAGCTACCTAGGGCCTTGGGAGGGGTGGACTGGACACAGACCTAACTTTGGCATTTTTTGCACAAAAAGGCCACTTTCAGACTTGAACCCACATTCTCACACTTATCAGACCAAGACTTTACCATTACACCAAATATATTTTTCCCAATTTTGTGCAAAACATGTTTCGTTTTCTCTTTCTGACAACTATTTGCAATTAATTTTGGAAAACCTACTGAAACTTCCCCAATATTTTTTGTCAAAACTTGGAATCGTTGCATATAATAAATTGAAAACTGCATTAATTTGAAAATTTTTGAAATGTTGGGAAGATATCAAGACATCTTTGGAAATTTTTTGACTCCAATAGGTTTATGGCTGTAAGGAGGGTGTGCAACAGGCAAGGAAATATGAACATGAAGAAGTTAGTTACTGAAGGTGATTCAAGATTGATGACAGGATGGCTGCAGTGTAGAGAGGCTGCATTGTGGAAATAAAGGGCAGTCCATTTCTATATTGCCTTGTGGCAATATAGAAATGAAATAAAAAGAATCCAGGTGGCTGACTTGAGAAATTGAAGTGAGAATTAGATTGGTATAGAGGGCTGCCAATAGCATGGCAGACAATCTAGCAAAGCAAGGGGAGGGACAGGCCAATTGTTAAAGAAGGGGACAAATGGTAGAAGTCATCTCTCAAAAAGGTTTTGTAAATAATACATTTTATGCTCCATAGTTAATAAAATTTAAGGTTATTTATAAAGAAATAGATTTTATTTCCCTCCCTCCCCCTTGGGAAGATGGGAAATTTTGGGCAAGTTTGCTATTTTTCAGTGATATTATATTTTTCTACAAAGAAAAAGTGATACTATGAACAATGGGTAATACAATACACTTCCATGGAGTTAAGTATACATCAACTATTTGGAAGGAAAAATATTAAGGTGCAATAACTGAAGGAAAATGTTAAGGTCAAATTTCATAAACGGAGTGCATATTTTAGCTTGCATATGGAACTGAAATTACCCCTTTTTAATAGCAAGTTGAATGTTTATAGAACCACTTACATGGTCAATATTCCTTTCAGGAAAGGCATAAAGGTCTCCAACTGATCCAGATGAGTAAGACCTTGTACAAACACAACTGGAATAAGGAACAGAATTGTAAGGAGAATACATGCAACAATAACGACCAGCTTTGATATCCATCTTTTTATAAATGATGTAGAAAAGAAATGCCAGTAAACATCATTAGGCTCAGGAGCTGGCTCTGTGACCCACTTTGTGGGATTTGTTGATTGTTGGATGTGGAAAGCAATTGCAGCACCATACCGGGACTTGAAGGACACAAAAGCAGCTGGAACTTCCTGTTAGTTTGGACAAAAACCACAAAAATGGATCCATTAGATATAATGGTGACATCTTAGAATAACCCTATCACCAAAAGCCATTAAAGAACCAATCTTTGGTTTAAGGAGCAGGGGATGGATATTTCCATCATCTAATGGTGGAATCATGTCATAAGTAATCACTCGAGAACTGAGGCTCTGAATGGTAGAGTCAGAAAGTATTTTCAAGGTAGCAGCAGATTGTAGATATCTCTAGTTCTATGGAAGAACTACTTTTTTCCGACTATTACAATGCACAGTCCTGCAATATTTGATGATTGAACGAAAAGACTTGTTTGGTTCAAGCAAGCATAAATGTCAAACATGTAAGTGAAAGACATAAATCTTTAAAGATAATTACTAATTTGGTTGCACTTTCTTATAGATATTCATTAAGTGACACATTTGTCTTCCGCAAGACTTGACTACATGAGTATATCCCCTACGTACAGTGTCTCAATGTACAGGGGTGTCTCTTTGTATTTTTCTGGATTTCTGAAGACAATATTATACTTCATAGTTTCAAAAAGATTAAAAAAAATATTTGACTTCGTGAGTGATGTAACCCTTTTGTGAAGATATCTGCAAGTTGGTCTTCAGATAAGGGGTACACACTTCCCCTGTGACGACCTTTTCTCTGACAAAATGTTTGTCGACTTCGATGTGCTTAGTTCTATCATGCAGCACTAGATTAGCAGCAATGTTTATGGCTGCTTTGTTATTTCACAGAATAGAGTCATAGGTCCATCAACTGAAAAACCCAACTCACTCAACAAATCTTTTAGCCAAATAATTTCAGCCACTCCATGAGACATTGCCCTATATTCAGCTTCAGCATTAAACCTAGCTACCACATTCTGCTTTTTGCTTCTCCAGGTAACTAGGTTCCCTCCCACAAAGGTATTGTAGCCGCTGGTCAACTTCCTATAATTAAAGGATTCTGCCCAAACTGCATCGGTATACACTTCAACTTTCAAATGCCCGTGCTTTTGAAACAATAAGCATGCACCTGGGAACTTCTTAAGATATCTAAGAACTCTTTCAGTTGCTTCAAGGTGGGTAGTCTTAGGGGCATGCATGAACTGGCTAAGAACACCCATTATACAAGCAATGTCTGGTCGGGTCATAGAAAGATATAACAATCTTCCTACAAGTCTATGAAACTGTTTCACATTTTTTATGGGTTCACCTTGACAGTCACCTAATTTGTGATTAGGATCAGTAGGAGAATCAATAGGCTCCACTCCCAATTTTCCTGTATCCTAGAGTAGATCTAGGACATACTTTCTTTGGGAAATGAAGATACCCTTGTGTGAGCGGGCAACTTCGATCCCAAGGAAGTACCTTAGAGGACCTAGATCTTTCACTTCAAACTGGGTAGCAAGAAATCTCTTCAACTTTTGAATTTCATCCTTCCAATTACCAGTGATAACTATATCATCAATATATACTATCAGTTTTGCAATTTTCCCTTCCCCTCTTTTCACAAACAATGTGTGATCAGATAGACACTACTTGTGTCCTCTTTGCTGAACAACTACATGAAACCTGTTGAACCAGGCTCTCGATGATTGTTTCATTACCTTGAACGCAAAAACCAAGGGGTTGTACCATGTACACTTCCTCTTCAAGGTCACCATTTAGAAAGGCATTCTTGATGTCTAGTTGATGAAGGTCCCAATCAAAATTAGCAACCAAGGAGAAAAGGGCTCTAATGGAATTCATCTTAGAAGCAGGTGCAAAAGTTTCTGCATAATCCACTCCATACACTTGTGTAAACCCCTTTGCCACTAAACGAGCTTTATACCGCTCCACCGTGCCGTCAACCCTATGTTTTACTGTGAAAACCCATTTACATCTGTTGTAAGGCTTATTTAATTGTTACTTTATAGCTGTTGTTAGTAGGCTGACTTCTTAGGATACTGTCAGTTAGTTACTTGTCTTTTTTTCTTATTATTTTTGGTTCTAGGGTGTGCCGCCAGGGGCATACTTGTAATTTCTCTTCCTTTATTAAGTTAATATAAATAGAAGACTGGCAGCAGCCAGTAGCATCTTTCTTCTCTCAATCGTACCTCTCTTTCTCTTCTCTTTCTCTCTCTCTCTCTCTCTCTCTCCCATTCTCCATAAATCATTACATGGTATCAGAGCAGGTTTTCTGGGCTGTAAAAGACCTATGATCCCTCCTGTTTTGAGCAAGGTTTCCTTCTTTAAAAGTTTTGGACGTGGAAGATAGGGAAACCCTAGTAGGTTACTGGCGGAAACCCTAGCAGTTTTCTGGCGGCAGTTTCTGTGGAAACCTTAGCAGTTTTCTGGCGGCAGTCTCTGTGGAAACCCTAGCAGTTTTCTGGCGGCAATTTCTATGGTTTTTTCCTTGGTCGTAATACCAAGAAAACCCTAGTCGGAGAAGGGCGATGCTGGTACAGACTCCCTTCCTCCTCTGTTCGATGCTATGAAGTCAAGTTCAGGTTAGCACCTTCATACAAGTGCTGAACAGGTGTGTTTTTTGTTTTAGTCTTCTTTGGCCGATGGTGTGTAGGGATCATTCCTTGGTTATATAGGTATTTGTTTGGATGTTGGATGGTTAGACT